ACGAATAGGAAATATTGTGCTGTTATTATGTTTGGTTGCATGAATTCGTCAATAACGCATCCAGACATAAGTTTTTTTTAAATTAGGTACCTGGAAACTCTGAAAGGTAAGACTATAAAATAATTTTACTTACTAGTAGCCTAGGTAGGTACATAATGTGTGTCTTTATGGATCATTATATATTATTATATAACAGATGTTTGAATTTATAAATAATATGAATAAAGTTATTGAGACGAGTGAAATAGGTAGTTATAGGCGGTTCTGGTTCTGAATGAATCATGATACGTTAGGTACCTACCTACTTACGCTTGTGTTAAAACGGTTCATGTATGTTTTGTTAGTTTGTATAATTCAAAGTAAAGAGTGTGGTATTTTATTATTAATAATATTTGTTTATTATCTGCGTTTATGAATAATACTAGAAAATATTTAATAACAACAATAAAACAGCTAGACTCATGTAATATTTTGATGTTTGAGGGTTGCGATTTTAGAACATTCGTAGTCAGCTGTTCAGTTCGGCATTAGTGGCCAAAGAAATTTTGTTTGTTTATTTTTAAAGCACTTTATTTGTTTATATAAAAATGGATATTTACAATCACAAAACTAAATGGAAACAGAAAGTAGACAAAGGTAATTAAAATACTGGAGACGAGCAGCCCTAACGCATGTTTACGTACCGCGCGGCTGTAGGTATTTATTTCTTTCAAGCGGCCGAGTTACAATACTGTATGATATTTATACTGTGCTATTACTTTGATTAGGGAATAGAATCGATCGACTTTTACTCGGTAAACTCAGTTGCGAATATTTCAGCCAATCACCAAACGATTAAGTTTAATCACAAGCACAACACAGTATAAAATAAAGTCGCTTTTTCTGCCCTTATATACGCTTAAATCTTAAAACTACGCAACTGATTTTGATGCGGTTTTTTAATAGCTAGAGTGATTCAAAGGCAGTTTTATATGCATAACAACATCCATTAAATAGTGGAGAAATTTAGTTTACCTTTACAAAGATCTGCAATTACCTAAGTATATTTTGTTCCAAAAAAGGTTCATTATATTTATTTCTTGTCGTTAAAAGATTTTTTATGTAATCGCATACCAAACCGGCGCTCGCGTCGATACGATCTAACGGTTAGAAGTACCGTGAAATCCTCCAACTTTGGACTCTAGGGGTAACATTGGACGGAACAAGAAATTTACTAAATTAGGTCGTACCACAGAAATGATGAAAGATGGACACATTTTTGAAACAGTGGTAGTAAATAAATAATATTTCTGGCAACAGTAATTGACAGTTTGTTCGGTAACGTCATTCAGTTGTCTAGCAGCCGTGGTCAAAGTGACACTATTGAAGAGTGGACCAATTTTCAATTTTGCATTTTTGATCGAGTGTCTGTTAAAATGAAGCCTAGGCAAGTACTTTCTGAATATGTTATAGAATGATGTCAGGAGAACATTTTGATATGCATTATAACTTAAGATTAGTATTTGTGTCTAAGAAATGTGAGCGACCAATGTTACAAACAAGGTCTCTGTACTTGGGGTGTAAACATTGGCCACCGTCAATTATGTATTAGGGCTGCCACTTACTAGTAAGATATGTAACAAGTAAAATTACTTTAAATTGTAACTTAAAAGGTACAGTGGTTCGGTAGTTTGAAGGACTACTTAGAAGTTTTTTTGTTGATTTAACCTTTCCACTATATTATGTCAACGTGAAACTTGTATTTGCGCAAATCATATTGTAATATACTTGCTTCAATTCAAAATCAGGTACCTAGCAACATGAGGCAATGAGTTTATTTTTTATTTATTTCAGGGACAAAGTTAAAGCGAAATCGTGAGTATAAAAATTATAGCCAAGAAATGCTGGAACTAGCAGTTGAGTTAGTGCAAAACGATAAATTATCGGCACGAGCAGCTGCACGACAGTTTTCCATACCTAAACAGACCATATTGAACAAAGTTCACAATAAACATGACAAGTCTGTTGGATGTCCACCGCGTCTACCAGCGGAAGAAGAAGCCAAAACAGTGAAAGTCCTGATTGCCGCCGCTAATTTTGGTTGTCCGCTTACTAAATTTACTACAACTTTGCTAAATTTGCTACTTGTAAAATAAAACAATTTAGTGTAAACATATATTTTTTCATTTCTTTATGTTTCTATGTGTCAACCCTAGTACCCAAAAATCAGTTGTAAGCATATTAGCAAAAAATACCAGGTAACATTGGCCACTGTGATAAAGAGCGAAAGTGGCCACTTTTAATAACTTACTTCATTTCGTTGCCTTCTTTGGCCAGATTTCTACCATAGCTCTTAATAACATGCAAATAGGGCTAGTAGTTCAGACGATATAAGCTGTGGATAATGTTGACAGGAAGTGGAGTTAACATTGGCCAGTCTTTCGAGTTACTTTTAAAATACAAAATCATTTGTTTTTAACAGATTTTGTATGCTTGACTAATAGTAGGTTGTGTATTCTTTGCGTTCACATCATAAAATCAACACGTTTTCCTAATTTTTTTTGGTGCAGCAACAAAATTTCTACAAAATGTGGCCAAAGTTGGAGTATTTCACGGTAATGAGTTCTTGACGAGTAAACAAATGAATCATTATGGTACCTACTTATTTTATCTAGATATCTATTGACTGACATGTTTTGTCTAGACTTCGGATTAGGTCAACTTATCACGAGTTTAAGTATCGTGCTAAATCATCTTTTGAGCTTTGACTGCTGACCAAGGTGAGTTGAGTACCTAGGTAGCTTCTGTAGCGCGGTTCACTCGCTGCTCAGCTCATAGAAAATCGTAGCGTGGCGTAGCCTTAGTCTTGTTCGATAAATATACTAACAATCACTAAAGGATAGATTTAGTAGGTATATATTATATCAAAAATTCCTAATGCCTTTTATTAATCATCATCATCATCAGTTTATAAGTGCCCACTGCTGAGCTAAGAACTCGTCTCACACGGAGACGGCTTGAGCGTTAATCACCACGCTTTTCCTCAATCCGGATTGGCGATTTCAAAGTTATAATTGCAAATTATTAGTCCAGGGTTACTCACGGTGTTTATCTTCACTGATTGCCCATCTTAATAAATAATCGTAGAAAGTACACATAATTCGGAAAGTCATTGGTTTACCATGTTTCGAGCCCGCATCATCATGCATGAGAACCGGGTGCCGTAACCTCCGGACCACGACTCATTAAAATTCACAACGTTTTAAAAATATAATTATTAAAATTCAAAATAATAATAAGTTTCTTTTAAGTATAGGTAGTATTTTTTTTCTATGGTGCTTTTAAAATTGGCTTATTAAAAAAATCTTACATGTGAACGACGCCTTAATAAAACAAAATTATTATTAATGAACTAGGCAAATCAATCATTTCTTTGATCTAAGGTTTTTAGGACAAGGTACTTTTAGAATACATGAGGTATCATGCGGTACATACCGCAACAGTGTAAGTAGATACTTAGGTCAGGAATTAAAAAGTAAAATAATAATGTGTAGGTAGTTCTAGACGACCAGCCTGGTTCTTAGGTTCATAAATAGATTCTAAAATATAATTTCGAGGGTAAATTACTTGATGCCTAAAGAATTTAAAAAGCAAGGAAAATATTTATGTGTAAATAATATTCAACCAATAATTAGGTATTTAATATACCTAACCACTGTGATAACACTTTCTCTGACAAGCAATAATTATAGGTACTAAAAAAACTACATTTGATGCATCCAACTACCTATACAAACTACCAGGGCTACATAACAAATGAGAGATATTACACTAAGAATCTAAAGATGAGAACCTAAAATGATATTTTGAAACTATATTAGCTCCCTACTTACCCCTTCTGAAAACAAAAATCACCACAAAAAACCTACATTTAATATCAATGACGATATCCTCTGTTTAATATGTAACAATTAAAAAATCAGTTGAAATACCAGGGCCACATAACAATTAAAGAGCTAATAGAACACCAAACCTATTGAATTTACACCTAAAACAATTATAATTGGCACTATTTGACAGTGCACAGCGCTCCGAACGCGGGCTCACAACAGACTGGCTAAATATAAGTCTTTGCCCACTCAACCAAAATAGATTGCCCACTGGAAAGGGATGACTTGAAAGGGTGACATGTGACATATTTGTAGTTTGTTGATCTTATATCTATACATAGAATATTTAAGGCACGTGGACCGAAATGGAAGGGGATTGGAGAAAATAACCCAGTGATCCAACCTAATTAGGTAGGTAAATAGGTACTTATATATATAATACATACTTTCCATATGTATGAAAACTTTCTTTGATCTGAGAGCTGTAAAGGATATTTGTAAATACCCAAAATAGCGTTCATAGGTGAATTGAAAAGGTCAAAAGTATTTTTGGCAGTGGTTTAATAAGTAATTATAATAATCTTCTTAACAAAGTTCTCTCGGTTCTCTCTGTGGTTCTAAGTGTGATGTGTGTTTGTAATTTGTCTTTATAAATGTATCCCTATACCAATGCAAAGGCTATATTAGTGAAAAAAAAATTGCTGGGTTCATTCATAAAAAACTACTTAAAATTCTTGTAATTTCAGATTTATTTCTTTCTTTAGAAAACTACACTGCAGATATGCCTACAGTATATGTTTTCCCTGTTGTGTGTTGTCACAAACATAATATTATCACATTCAAATCCAGAACAATTTGGGTATCCTACAAACAGTTGTTACTTGTGGAATTGAACTCACAAGACAATACATTACAACAAGTTCCAGTTAGAAACAGTTTAGTGTAGAATAGTAAAAATTATCCAATTGTAATTAGGTTTTTTTTAATGTAAATTATTACTGACATCAACATTATTCATAGTAATTTAGTAATGGTCACATAGTCAATATTAGATTCAAGTGAGAATGAAGATTATTGTTTATATGAGTCATAGAATAAAAGGCAGACAGACTATTAAGCATTTATTAAAAAACTTGATGTAGTAGGTATATTAAAACTAGATACAGTCTAATGCTTCCTCTTGTCATCCCTACTATCCCTGCTAGATTTAGATCTATCATAGTCATCATATTTCCGTGACATACCCCTGCCACGTTTGTCATCCATCCTACTACGTTCACGAGAACGGTCTAACTCCCTATCCCTGGAACGAGACTTGTGTCTTTTACTGCTGCTTGTTGAATATTCCCTTTTACGTTCATATGGAGAACGGGATCTGTGCTCCTTCTTTGACTTATGACTGCTGTGGTATTTAGAAGACAGGGGAGGAGTCTTCGGTGACTTGTCTTTTTTAGAATCCCTTCTACTTGTCTCCTTAGATGTTGATGCAGTAGGAGATTCTACCTTCTTCTCTTCAGCTTTGCTCTCCCGATCCTTCTGAGCTTGAATGTGCTTGTTTGCTTGGTACACCTTCCGTAACAAGTCAACTTTACTCTCCAGTTCTTCTGGATTTACTTTAGGCCTCTTGTACAGTTGTAGGATGCGAACACAGACTTCCCTGATGTCTTCTTCTGATACTTTAAATAACAGGAACCAGTGTGGGTTGTTAGGAAGAGGGAGGCCAATCTTGCGTGCAGTTAAATATATGCAAGCACAAGCAATAGTCTCGGGTGGGAATCTCATGAAGACGTCAGTGCGCAGAGCATCATTCATGTAATTCCATGCCATCTGCATTAGCTGGCGGTTCTTTTCATACTGCAGCAGCTGAAGATATACTACAATAAGTTTGTGTGGATGTTTCACATGCACACAGAAGCCAAGTTCCTTAAGAATTCTCCGCTCAGCCTTAATGACTTGGTTTTTTAATTCAATATAATTTTGATCAACAATCAAGGGAGATATATTTTTCTGGGCTCTCACTTGCTTGATATGATGGAAAACGTTAATCACATCACGTATTCTACACGGCTTTTCTTCAACTTTAGACGCTAAATAAATGCTACCCATTGCCATAGTTTCCATAGGATATCTGACGAATGATTTGGAATAATAGAACCGTTGGAGGTAGATCTGTCCGGTCGCCATGGCAACTTGTGGCAACTTCAGAAGGATCCCAGCGGTTTGTATCATCTCACACCCGAGGATACGGAGGTCTGTCTCAGTTTCAACATCAAGGCCGTCAGTCTGTGAGGGCGTTTCCTTGAATACATTTTCTGGTAGGAGGCAGTTATACAACGTGAGAACAATCTTTCCATACGTTTTTTGAGGTTTAGCAGGCGTAGTCGTGCTGGTTTTGGCTTGATTTTGCACTGTTGTGTTTGTTGTCGACATGATAGTTTTTTAGAACTTTCCACTTGTTGAATTATATAAAATCTTATTTAGAGTTTTAAATCCACGTTCTTTAAAGTATATTTTATCACTTTAATACACACATTTTTTTTAAATTCACTACAATACTTTGGTTAAATACCATAAAAACACAGTGCGCTAAAATGAGTGTCATTGACGACTTGACGAAAAGAATGAAAAACCAAGATGGCGGCACAAACTTACCATATGTCAAAGTTTAGTTTTGTAAACAAAATATTAAAAGATACTTAAAAGAATAAGAAAATTATTGAAAATACTACATACCAGCCATTATTTTCTTTCACTTCACACACTATAATTATACTTATCTAGTATTTTACAATTAAAATACCAAAATACAATAAACAGTCTCTGAGTCAGTCGATCGATTTTAGTGGCCGCGTTCCAGTTTTAGATATGTTTAGCATTTTAGTAACCATAGACAACATGATATACTTTTAGCAGTTTGAAACACGGTTTATTATTTTGTTGTATCCAACTTAGGACAACGTCAGATTTTAGCCAAGAAGAAGAAAAACATGATTTTGACAAACAAAAAAAATAAAGTTTTTGCCGTAATTCCTCATTTGATTACTTATAGACGTTACAAGTGTATTGTTGTGTTGTGTAACGTGAAGTTAGCGCTACTTGCAATATTTGCGCCCTTGGCGGCAATTACAATCAGGTAATCAATAACTGCGACAGTAATAACAAGAGACCATTCTTGAAACTGCGCCAATAATTCTTAATCAAATTATATCTAACATGTCTAGTTCAGTTAGAAAGTTTATTTAAATAATACTTACAGCCTGGATCAGTACATTTTTGCACGAAGGAATCCAAAAAGTCGTGGCCTTCGCCAGCCTCAAAACAACATTTCACGAAAGACATTTTTGTAACGATATAAATTGAAGAATAAAACTATTATAACAAGGAAATATAGAAGAAATTGTATAACATTTAATTCTTTATTTTAATGAACATCACGGCTTGTACTTAAACGATTTTTACACAGCTACAGATTTTAACACTTTTTACACAAATCTAACAAAAATATTATTTAGGCTTTAAGTAACTTAATATTTTTCTAAAAATAAATATTCTCTTAGAGGTAATACACAAAATATAGTATTGCTTTACAGTGTAACGTTAAATTGACTAGAATTAACAAAATTTAGGTCAACTATGTCACATTTCGGAAGCTAGGTGTTTTTTTTTCGTCTGATCTGAATGTCAATGCGATCATAATAACATGTTAACCGACTTATTTACAATGTCGTGACTTTATTCTACAAGTTTTCCTTATCAGGGCTCTTGCTAAGTCGGTAGTGTAATGCGCGGCAGTGCCTGCGTTATTTTTAGTTTTCTAATATCTAACACCAGAGGCGCTGGTTGACGCACATCTTATTGAAATATTATTGTAGCTACCGAACAAAAGATGGCGCTGGTAAGCGACATTTTAACTCGTTAATAAAAAAAAAAAAAAAAAAAAAAAAAAAAAAAATTACTTATTTCATTGAATTGTTTGAGTTTATTTTGTGAAACTGTTTGAAAGAGTAAGTAAGCACGGTTCTTCCCCATCGGATTCTATATTTTGGAACTAACAAATAGCTTCACTTAGAGAATTGACCGACAGACTGTAATTGTGTATCTATAATCTTTGTTTGACGTTCAAAAGTGCTTATAAAATTATTTATTATAATAAGACATTTGAAATAAATGATTTAAGTTTGATTTTGATTGGTAGTTTATATTTTTTTAAGTTTACTTTAACTTATTGCATTTAAATTGCGTGTACCTAGGTACCTACGTTTAATATAAATAGATTTAGATTAGTGTAGCTGTTGAAACTTTCGAAGACTGCATACCTAGTGATGTGAAGTTATCGAAACTAATATTATAAATGTTAAAGTAACTCTGTCTGTCTTTTTTTAACGCCTAAACTACTGAACCAATTTTGTGAAATTTGGTACAGACATAGTTTGAAACTCGAGAAAGGACATAGGATAGTTTTTATACCAAAAATCTGCAGGAAGTCACTATTCCACGCGAATGGAGTCGCGGGCTAAAGCTAGTTGTCAATACATTTCATTTTACAGTAATTGGTTTGTTTACAGCTGAAAATACTACTGATGATACTTAATTCTTCTAACTTTTATTAAAAACCTAGATTGACTAACTTTTAAACTTTCGCGTTTCATGTTAACAACATGGGGTAGGGGTATTTAAATAATACCTTTTTGCGTTCATACTCGTTTAATAAGTTTACTAAACGGGTATGAATAATATGATGTTAACCTAGATTGTTCCAGAAATTTTGGATTTAAACACTGCATACTTGATTGAGATCAACATTGATGATTATCTCTAAGACAAAAGTTCTAAGGTATCTCTACGATACCTCCAACATCAACCCTATGCATGCAAGGAATTTAATGTAGTTTCAGACATAGATATTATGGTCACATGAAGTCACATCCTAACCGCTTTTGGAAATATGATTCACAACTTCGAATGTGGCGGGTTGCCGACTTGAATTAGATTAATCAGTGTTAGTAATTGGTAATTCACTTGAAAAACTTAAGCATGGGAGAGCCAAGCTTCGGCATGAGTGGGTCGGCTCCACCGGAGTGATACCACGACTTGTCGTGAAACAACCATAGCGCTGTGTTTCTCCGTGTGAGTGAGGTTATCGGGGTCCCAATCTTTTCCCTCCCCCACCCCTTCCCAAATCTAAATTTCCAACAATTTTTTTTTATGTAATAGCTCGGCAAACGAGCAGACGGATTACCTGATGGTAAGCAATCAGCGCCGCCCATGGACACTCGCAACGGAGGAGTTACGAGTGCGTTGCCGACCTTTTAGGGATTAGGGATTTGGAGATTTAGGGATCGAGGAGGGATTGGGGAAGGGGAAGGATTGGGCCAATCCTATTCAAAAAATCCCCAAAATTTTTATTAATTACTATAAAAAGTCAGTAAGATTAGGACATAAGTATCTTAAGTTCACCACCTAAACGTATTGGCTATAATATTATTGTCTATTTACGAAGAATAAGTAACGCGCCAAAATCTACCACAGACTAAAAAAGACTAGACTGACGGTACTGTTAGAGCATTCTGCCACTTGGAACTTTACTGATTAAACTATTAACAAGTAACTGTTTTCTAACCTCATCATGCAGCTGGTTTAGATGTGAAATGATACGCAGCGTTGCGATGTAGCTATAATATAATATTTTATGGTCTAATCAGGTATTAACGGACACGCAGTGGGTGGAGCGGTGACAATGCGACAACGGGTGCGTGCTGCCTTATCTGGCCAGTACAGTCGAGCGCTACCTTAGAAACTAGAGACAATAGTTTTTTATATTGGCAACACTGGCGCTTTTATCGACCTTCTGAAAAGGCCAGTAACGCGCCTTTGACTCTTCTGTTGTTGCACGTGTCTATGGACCGAGCTGCCAACCATCAACATAGATGGTTGGCAGTCCCCATCACATGATGGGGATGAACATGTTTTCGCGTGGAACGATAGCAAAAAGATGCGGCGGGGATCAAACCGAACAATTCCTCAGAACACTCACGCAAGGTATGTCGCCTGTGACTCCTCTGGTGTTGCGGTTGTCAATGGGCGGCACCGTTTGCTTACCATCAGTCAATACGTCAGGTCGTTTGCCGTCCTATAATACAAAAAAATAATAAATTAAATTATTCCTAATCCTTTTCTAAATTCAATTTGCAATAGCACTCCATTTCTAATACTGTCCCACTAGCTGTATGCGACTGTACGCTGCATTATCGGTTGCGTTTAACAGAAAAGCCGTGTTATTCTCATTATAAGCTTCATGTAGGGTCTGTTACGACACGCCTTTAGAAAGTCACAGCTTGATAACATACATTAAATATTATATTATATTGAATACTTAGCACTATATTCTAGGTTTAGCATAGTAAAGACCTAGCGATATTATTTGTTACCGTTGAGTAGGCTTTTTAGGTGATGCCATTATCGTTTCTTTCATTTCAATGTTTTCTCTCTATCCATTGGAAAGTTTTGATAATATTTTAAAGTATTTATTGAAGTGGTACAGATAGTATTGTTTGTGTTAACAAGTAAATGAGCGATGTTGATCCTTCGAGAGAGTAGTGTACGAAAGGAGATTTTAAGAAAAGAGTTATTAATCTATTACCTAGAGTTTTAATCTGGAATGCATCCAATTGGATATCCCAAATTACTATAAATTCAGTCTATTAAAAACTTATTTTTATTTATTAGTTAAAATGTTATTCTTTCTATGCATAATGTACCTGTTTGGAATGGTTACCAATATAAGATGCTTCATAATATATAGGATTTCATAACAATAAATTTATAATGGCTCAATACGATAGCCGTGAAGTCATTATTGTATGTATGAATGTGAGACTTTTACGCTCATAAGATCATAAAAGGCTTACGAAGAAGTGACCGCGGGGCGCCATCATACAAAAAACCTGTCGACTAATGAGTCTTAACGTCCACTCATGACATCATACCTTAAGTCTCTAATCTTAACATTAACCAATTTGGCAGTATGACAAACACCTTCGCCTAAATGTAACGCCAAGCCGTTTTCCTTGCAAATAGCCTCATGCATATGCGGCAAAGCCTTTTAGCTACGTAATAGGTGCTCTCTCACTCGCCAATTTGATTTAACTCATTCAGTCGACCTCGAGGTACAGCCGAGAGCGGGTGTACGCCATCTTTGATTCTGAACTGTCAAATTTCGCGCCGATTCTGTGACTGTGATAGCACTAATTGCCAGCAAAAATAAATATAATAGTGTAGTGAAATAAATTAGGAACATTTTTAAATTAAGTGTGTTTTTTCTAGAATTTATTCGTGTTGTTTATCTCGGAGTTATTGGCTGAGATCTCGGTCTGTGATTAGTGCTGTGTTTTTGTTTTTTTTTTTCACTTATAGTTTGATACCGTTTGAACTGTCGCTGTTTGTGCCCGGAAAGGATATATTTCGGTGAGTTTTTATTTTAATTTATTGTTATTTAATTGACTTACACTGCCGTACGAACGCGCGATATAAAGAATTGATACCTACAGTTGATTTCCTGTCTAATGTTGAACAAAAAATATTTTATCTCGATTAAATCGATTTAAAAACTTGACTAATTGCGCCGGATACCTAGTGATCGAGATAAAGATTGTGCTAAGATATCGATTAATGAGTGTTATCGACGTAAAAGGATTTCGCAAGGACGGTTGGAACTGGCCACTCTAATAAACACGAGAAATAATTCCACATTTGGTCTGAGCTGTGATGCATATGCGGTTACTTACATACATAGGAGTATGTAAGTGAGCGTTTACATTTTTGTAGTGAGCGCATTTGTTAGTAGGTTCATTGTTATTGTTATTTGTATTGGTTTATTGCACAACGAATCAAACGGACCTTTGGGCTCACTTCACATTCTACAACCTTTGTCGGTCATGTTCACAGAGACGGATTTAGGGGAGTTCTGAAGATATAATAGTTGGATTTAAATTTTTTTTCGTAATAAGTTGTCTAATAGGTACCTAATTATTTATTATTTATAACGCATAAGGATGAAAGCTTATTTAAGTGTGTGTGTGTGTGTGTATGATGTTGTGTGCCAACTTACCAACTATTATAACACATGATGACTGTGGCCAAAATCCTAGCGTATTAATATTAGAAATACATACATAAATCGTTGTTTATTTTCTTTCTTAAAATACTTAGATACACGGATTAAATACGTGTCGAAGTCACGTCATAATGAACATAATTTTTAGCATAATTAGCTAGCAATTACATGGAAATATAATTTTATTGCGAAAATGTGCAAAGTCGCCTGATATCCATCATAATGGGTAAAATAAAATGTTTCACCTAACTTTATTTTTTATTTTTATTTTTATCTTTATTTTTTATTTTTATTTTATTAACGGTACATACGCTTTTTTAAAGAAGCAGTTCAGGGCCTTTACCTCATAAGGTAGGTATTCCAAATCGGTCACACAGTTCGGCCCTGTACGTAGGTAGACGTTTGCGGCAATATTCAACTTTTTAACACGCCCGAGTTAGTTATTTTTGTAAATAATCGTTTAAGTGATGTGTTTTTTAAATTCCGGATTGAGCTGTTTGTTATTTATTTATTTATACCTGGTTTTATTTTCAACGAGAGACATGTTGAAGGACTCGATTCTGTTGCTCAAATAAAATAACTTTTACTTCTATATGATTCATCAGCTGTTTAGATTTGAATAAGGAAGATGGATTTATTTTTGCAATTTCGGTATTGGTCCCATGGAAAAAGTGTTTTATTTGAGCGAAACAGATTTATTTTAATACTAGCTACTGTCGCGCGGTTTCACCCGCTGCTCGGCTCCTTTAAATCGTAGCATGATATTTCGTAGCCATTCGCACTCAGCAACATTGTAGCTATCTATCAGTGAAATTTTGGCAATCCGCCCAGCGGTTCCAAAGATTACCCCCTACAAACAAACTTACAAATTTTACCTCTTTATAATGTTAGTGTAGAAGTATAGATGTAGTTTTCTGCACTGTGTATCAAATAAATATTTTTGTTTCTTTCTTTCTTTCTTTCACCAGAATCGAGTCCTTAGATAAGTCCCTCGTTCAAAATAAGACCCTGTTAACTTTTTTAAACAAATACACTGAGTAGAAACTAGATACGTTGAATACACTAAAATAATGTTGTGATTATAATGGGCGGTCTTATCACCGAAAACCGCGAGTAGCTAGTATTTTAATCTTTGTTAGGTTACATTTGAAGTATAAAATTAAAACAAATTTCAATCACATTTTTGATATAATTTTAATGCGGTCCCAATCCAAACCTAACGAGGTTGATACCCTTGGTATAAATGCAAATTAATGTATTTGTTTATTTAATATTCAACATTTTACTAATTTATACACTGGCCAATCCAGTTTGCTAAGTCCTAAACCTGACCTAACATTTTTTATAAAAAAAATATCATTCGACTTTGGTTGACAAAAAAAACATAATAGATATTCAAATTTAGAATTTATTTTAAAAATAGAAAAGTAGTTATCAAGAGGATCATTCACGTCTGTGATTTGAATGTGCCTAGCTAGGAGAGTATGTACTACATATATTTTTAATGCTATTTGCGCTAGAAAACAATTTACCAGACTTTGTGTTCTGTCTAAAAACTATAGAAAACCCGAAGGCGAGCTAATAATTCTTCGACTGACATGGAAATTAGACCTGCAACACCTGAGCTCAGCAGCACTGATCGTGCAAGCAGTAGACCAATCAGGGCAGTTCTAGATTAAAAAAGTTCAATAATTTTTTAAATGTCATCTTTAACCTTTCAACCGTAATAATTCGAGACACAATAGTAAGACAATAGGTGCGAGAACGCCGGCGTTCCCTTGGGGTTTGATGGATTAAAACTCAATGTAGTAGTTTAATCTTCAAGCTGATACAGACTACTAAACTCATTATTTGATTTTGTGCAAAAAAAAATAAACTGTTTTTTCATTTATTTTTTGTAAGGACCTTATTTCAGGAACCTCGTTAGTAGTCATTAGGAGGGCGCTACTATCAAAGCGCAGCCTTTTTTGGGAACACCTCCAGGCCAGGCAATCAAATAAGACCCTCCCTAATGCCCTACGGAACCCTTTGAACGTTAATTATGGCATATTAAAGTATTTTTTGCGACCATTTTTGCTTTTGAGTCATAACTTTTTTGAAATGGCGTGTTCAGATGTAATATTTTCTTGTGCATAACTTTGCTAAAGTGCACGGTATTTTTGGATCATTTTAACGTAGTTACGTTGTTTAGTTTTCCTATATAATGAGGTCTATTTATTATTATGTGGAAACTTATATATATAACGTCGTGGTAGCCCGAAGGTTAAGGCCGTTACTCATGCATGAGGGGGTGATTGGAACCTGGCAAGTACATTATGTAGGTACCAATGAGACTTTTTCTAAGAGATAAGTACTTTCTGAGTATTTAGACACCACAGACATACGGTGAAGGATACATCGGGGGAAAACCTGGACTTACAATTTCTAATTAAAGTTTGAAATCGCCAGTCCAACTTAAGAAAGCATGGTGATTAATACTCAAACTTTTTCCGTATGAGAAGAGAGAGGCCTTTGCTTAGTACTTATATGCTGATGATAATAACGTATAATAGGCCATAATTATATTGTACCACAGAATTGCCCAAACCACTGTAACCTAATCACCATTCTAGTCGATCAAAGAAGTTATTAGGGGTGGCTTTTTGAACTTATCAAGAAGCGTTACAGCTGGTATAATGGCCAGGACGAATCTTTACTGTTTAGCAGTCAATAATAAATCGACTGTTGCATAAACACAAGTTTTATTAATGGAAACATCGCATGCTCATGTGGTCGGAAATGTCAAATTGTAAACTTTGAATGTTTTAAATATAAATTATAAGTTAAATGCCTTTTGTTTAAGAGCTACATACTCGTATAAGTAGGTAGAACAATAAAGAAAATTATTTCAAACATAAAAATAAATTGGAAATTAACTAGGACCTACGTAATATGAAGCTAAAGAGTCCTTTGGATCTTCTGGCAATTTTATGTGATAGGACGGCCCACGAACACACCAGAGAAGTTGAAGAAGAGAAGACGAAGGATGGGGATTACGGTTTCTAAGGTTTATGGATTGGGGGAGGGGAAGGATTGGACCTCCGGTAACTTCATTAACATGTCGAAAAACACCCGGTGGATAATTTTTTACAAACGTTGCCCCCACTACGGTTTTTTATTAAATTTCACATATACTATATACACGATATCCAGGCACTGAAAAACAGTTTGCGGATCGGACACAGAGTCTGCATGAGATGAACCGGTGATACGTTGCACCACAGACTCTTGTCCAGTCACCGCGCCAACCATCAGTCAAACATAATCAAGGATTCTAATAATTGTAATAAGATCTAAGTAAATCAGACGCGACGATTAACAAGGTCCTAATGCTAGCTATGGTCTGCTGCTTGCAGTCACTAGACCATAGTAATTAACGTAAAAAGCAGATCCTAGACTATAAGAAATAAGTTAGCAATGCACACACAGCTTTTGTAGTACATAATTTTGATAACTACTAGTGATTATTTTGTAGGACATGGCGGCGAAGTAACGAAAAAGGCTGATGCCAAGCAATCGGCATGGGCTATAGATTAATATCTTTTTTTTTATGTAATTGGTCAGCAAACGAGCAGACGGATTACCTGATGGTAAGCAATCAGCGCCGCCCATGGACACCCGCAACGGAGGAGCTACGAGTGCGTTGCCGACCTTTTAGGGATTAGGGATTGAGGAGGGATTGGGGGCGGGGAAGGATTTGGCCTCCGGTATCCTCACTCACACGGCGAAACACAACGCTGTGGTTGTTTCACGCCGGTTTTCTGTGAGGCCGTGGTATCACTCCGGTCGAGCCGACCCATTCGTGCCGAAGCATGGCTCTCCTACACTTATAATATATATATCTAGGAGTTACAAGTGCGTTTACGTCTAGGCTTGTAGGTTTGGGATATGCGGTGACCTCAACGCGTTAGCTTTCTTTTATGATACTCGCAGGAAGAGTATTTTTTTTCACATTTCAACAGCCCTGCTTTTAAGCGGGTGTCAGGCACGCTTGCACCCTCACCATCGGCTGGTCACCAGCTCTGTTGTGTCTCTTTCAACGCTCTTAACCCTCCCGAGCGTAACGAGGGCGACAAAATGAACACTACTTTGTCCTCGGCACGACACACACTCCCAACTATTGGGTACGTCAGGGATGTTTTAATAGCCAAACTCACCGCTGAATATTATATCTAAAAGGCATGACATTTCAGCACTTATTTAAACTATAAGTCATTCATGAGGCCGGGGTTGTGGGGAAAGCGCAATAAGGGCCGCGGCAGGTAGGAAGAAAGGAAACGAGGTGGTTTTTAGTCAGTAAGAGTCTGACACT